ATTGTTCAAAGATAATTCGAAGGTAAATTTTATAAAGAACCACATAACATGCTTTTAAATGAATTTATTGCCCGTTATCTTTGATAATAGAGGAACGGACTAGGCAAAGAATAATATACTAAGTAAATAGTAGTATTTCTGGCAGGTTTTGTCGTTAATGACAAACACATATAATATCCAGTAAAATTGAAATGTCTTTATGAATAAATACAATCAACTCAGGTTGACACAAAATGAGCACAAGCAAATTGGGAACTTTATGGGCCTTTTTATCTCGTCATTATCAGCTCATACGTCCCCACTGAGGGGCTCTGTGCTTATCCTAAGTCAGTAACTAGACCATAGTCAATGTTGGCCATGAGTGACTCCACACATCTTTAAATTTCTTCATAGATATGTGCAGCGTGATGTTTTTCTTCAACGTAAAAACGTCAGATAAATGTACATATATATGGAAAAACACATTGGTACATGGCGGAATTCGAACCAAGGACCTGCAGACAAGTCAAGTGCTTAACCTCTGAGCCAACTAACCACTATTATGTTCATAATTTTTGTCAGAGGGTAATGCGTCTGACAAGTCCTGCCTCTTAAAAGTCAAAGCAATTTATAAAATATCTGATTGAATCGCCGTGGGGTTGCAATGACGACGGAAACATTAATTTTTGTCTTTAACAACATTGTATTCGACTGTACAGAGTTGCGCCTGCGCATATTCATTGCCTCGCGAAATATCGGACCATATGACGTCACCGCTAGTGATGCTTACAACCGAGCGCAGAAATATCGATAATTTTATTATATATTTTTGAATCTGAAATCACTGAAATAGCGAAGTGACCGTTGCCCATACACATACCCAATTGCATATGGTTGCCTGCCTTTAATCGACGGAGGAGAGGATGTACAGAAAGAAAATATTTTCCCTTTCCATGCATCCTCTCATCCGGAAAGTCCACTTCCACTTCCCATCCTTTCCTTATAAGAAAAAGGGTGGGAAGAGAAAGAGGACTAAATTAGGCATATCATCTTATTAAAATATAAATTATTAGATAGAATCATTTGGCGCGAATGGCGCGCTTTCGTTACCAAGTCAAGTGTCAGAATTATTAGTGAGGGAACATAGACGTCGACATTTTAATAAGGCTAGTGTTGTGCCAGTACACCGGCACACTGTCGGATTTTCTTCCTAACATTTATAACATGGAAATATTAAATTATTAAGTTTTAACCTAATTTTATAACGTAATAAATATGACATGGTTGTATATCAAATTCAAAAAGTGTATTATAATAAAATGCATATAATGTTTGGTGCTTATTAAATAAAGTAATATCGATAAAAATCACACATTCGCATCACTAGCCATTATCGATTTTTTATTGCATAATAAATATTTCGTACAAACCACACCTTGGCATTGTCGCAAGTGGATATTCAAGGAAATTTATTGGTTTAAAAAAAAACACATTGTTAGTGGTAACTTATGAAAGTGTGGAGTGACCGTGGGTTTCTGAGACCAATATCACCGTATAAAACATACTAGCCCGCGTCTCGTCCACGCGGAATTAAAAAAATACAATAAGCCTACACGTTATTCCAGACTACGTTCTACATAGCCGTTCTAGAGATATCCAAACATCCATCGAAACCAGTGGTTCTCAAACTTATTTTGTCTACTGCCCACTTTGAGAATATTTTTTAGCTCCCCCATATTTACACATATTTAAAAACCACTATAACTTCAAATTAAATTAATTAATTATTGTGACCTATATATGTATATTAACGGAGAATTGTAAAGGAAACTTTTACTATAACCCGCAACTATAGACCTGCAGCGCCCACAAGGGTGCGTTATCGCACACTTTGGTAAAGACTGATCTAAACATTCGCATTGTTATTATTAGTAAGATGTTATCTCTGTTTCGTCAAAGATGACAGGGATGATGATGTTATACAAAGATTTTGGTCTGAGAAAACCACGGTTAAAGCGTCTTGTTATGCTGTTCAATCCTTACTAATATTATAAATGCGAAAGTAACTCTGTCTCGCTTTCACGCAAAAACTACTGAACCGATTGAAATGAAATTTGGTTCACAGATAGTCTTGAGCCTGAGAAAGGACATAGGCTACTTTTTAACTCGAAAACGGTTGTAAGGGATTGAAAGTGGGAGTGGAAATTAGTATGGAAGTATCGTATTTTTTAGTTAGAAGAAATGTACATATTCAAATCGAAAAACACATTAGCAAATGGCAGGGTTCGAACCCAAGACCTATATATAAAAGAAAGTGGTGTTAGTCACACTATTTATAACTCAAGAACGACTTTACCGATATGCCTGAAAATTGGTGAGGAGGTAGCTTAGAGCCAGGAGACGGACATAGGATTTTATAGGACATACTATTTATTCATTTTTTCGAATTTACATATGTCTTGAAGAGCTGCTTTTTATTTAACTTACTAATATTATAAATGCGAATGTTTAGATGGATGTGATGTAGATGGATGGGTGTTTGAAGATATCTCTAAAACGGATGAACGGATCTCGATGAAATTTGGCATACGTATAGAACATAGTATAAAAGAATACATAGGCTACACTAATTAAGTTTTTTTATATATCCACGCGGAAGTTGCGGGCGACAGCTAGTTAGTAATATTACAACAATTTTAATAACCGAGTCTTACTTCGAGAACACTTGAAAATAACCAAAGTTTCTTTAAAGAGAATTCTTTAAGACACTTGTGTAGGGTGGGCCAGTAAATATAAGATAGGTGTGACTCTCGGAGTGTTTAAGAGGCTGACTATATGTCATAGACCACTGCAAGCGATGGTTTGACAATGGTCCAAGTCAGAGAAGACTACGCATACATGAACAACTGGCTGTCGCTCGCGACTCCTTGTTGTTTATGCGTATGCGATATAAAAAACTTAATTAGTGTAGCCCACCTATCCATCCACATTACATCCATCTAAACATTCGCATTTATGATATTAGTAAGTTAAATAAAAAGCAGCTCTTCAAGGCATAAATTCGAAAAAAAATGAATAAATAGTATCCTATGTCCGTCTCCTGGCTCTAAGCTACCTCCTCAAAAATTTTCAGCCATGTCAGTAAAGTTCTTGAGTTATAAATAGTGTTACTAACACGACTTTCTTTTATAAATATAGATTTGTTGTCCCTTTTTATTCTCTTTGATAAAACAGAGACAATTAAGTTTAGACGTTTGTTAAAGGTGCCAAAACAGCTGCATTGATTTTGCTAAAATTTGGCTAGATATATTACATTGTCTGGAAGAACATATAGGCTACCAATTATTTTTAATTCCGCGCTTGCGATTGCTAGCTTCAAATAATTGCAACAAGATCTTTGTTGGATCGTATAGTAATATTTTTGTTTGTTCATAAACTTATTGATTTATTAACCTTATTCTTAATATATTACATTTCATATAAAAAATAAAAAAATATATCAAAAATGTTATATTAAAAATAGAGCACCATCGGCTGCGGAATCCCATGACTCAAACAACCAGTGGTCAGGGCTGCAGACAGGAACCTTCTCTTGTTTGTTTATTAATATATTTTTAGAGAGCGTCGGTGGTTCAGGTGGCTCGCTTATGACTTGCGCAGCTCGGTAATATGTACTCAATGGCAGAACTGCCAAATCGTCCAAAAAATCTTGTAGCCACGCACTAGGGATGTCACATAGTTAAAAAATATATATATTTTTTTAATAGTATAGAAGAAAATAGAAAGAACTCATTATTTTTGTTTACGTTTCAACTAAATTATATATCGTTTGCAATTCATAATTTCCATCAGAAACTTAATCTTATTAATATTATAAAATGTGTAGATGGATGTTTGTTACAAGGTATCACCAGAACGGTTCAACGGATTTCGATGAAATTTGCCTTACATATAGAACATAGTCCGGAAGAACACATAGGCTACTAATTAAGGTTTTTAATTACTCGCGGACCGATTCTGGACACTGGATAAGTCACGTGATTGTCGCAACTCAGTTCTATAGATTTTTGAAGTTCGCTTTGGAATCTAACCCCGCTGAACGGTAAAAGTCTGAGACCACCGACTGCCCCTTAATACAATACAATTTTTGAAGATTTATTTATATAACTTGTGTGAAATTTGAAAATCTAAATCCACAACCTCAGAAATCGAATTAAAGTTTTTTTTATTATTATTTAAAAAATAATTTGTGACAGCCCTGGATGAATGCATTGTGACAATCAATTGTGCATCGGCGTGCGCGCGACACCGTACAAGGGAGATTGAAGGCGGGGACCGAATGCTTAGAAGTATTACAAGTCTGTCGAATATTCTATATTAACTTCGGAATAATGGGACAAATAATTAAAATGCAAAAATCCCGAGTTACAATCATGAGAAGAATACGAATTAAATAACATTTCTATGTATGAATAGGTGATTGCTTGGAAATTACAGCTTTTATTTCGTTTAACACGTTAGCTGCCATGTCGGACTATATGTCCGACAAGCCTTACTTTCATTCAACACCTCGCTGTGGCTTTTTAATCGAATTGTTGTATACAGCGTGACCTGGAAGGCCCCATTCAAATGCTTTTGGACAAAATTAAAAAAAAAAACATTTTCGTTTTTCGAAAAATAATTCTGGCAGCTAACGTGTTAATTGTGCACCTGTCGATATTAGTCGACAGTTAATTCTATCTAGAATATTAGAATCCACACCACCGCTACAAACCCCTACCATCAGCGCCAAAATGGCGAAAATCACATAGGGACATAACCCTACGTTTTATAACTATAATCACATTACATAAAAAATTACGCGCGAAAACAAACCCTCAGAGTCAGAATGGTAAAAATATTAAAAAATGAAATTAGTAGTGCCATCTATTGCCGACTCTGAGTTTTAAATGCACACTTAATTTTTTAACATTTAGTTCGTATATCTACTTAAATTAATTAAGGTAAAGAAAACAAATTTTAATTAATATTATTTACTTGGTAAAAAAGATCACTTTATAGTGTAAAATCAAACTTTTCTTTTTCTTTTAAAACATATTGAATTGTTTGCTTCTCACCGCTAGATGGCACGATTTGTACTATTTCAGTTTCGACATGAAAACAATATTTTTGTACTATCATAGAACAGATTTATACAATTTGAACAGTACACTAATCGTGGGTTTCTGACAAAATCTCAAGATATATATTGACAACATAAAGATATATTTTAAACGATGACGGTACAATTTATTTTCTTAATTCTTATATTCGATAGATGGCGCTATAACAATTCATAACGCAAAGACCTTCAAAATTCTAATTCAACATTCTATAGTCATGGGTAACTCAACTAAAAATGACTCGCAGATCATCTTACGACTCACATGTATTCAGATCAATGAATCAGCTCACAGCTCTGTACTTGAATACAGTTATGATTTACTTCATCGCACAGGTCACGGCTCATCGACTCATAAAAAAATTGCGATGAGCTGTGACCTGAACCGTTGATCGGTTCAAGTTTTGACCTGCACTTTTGATCCGGATCAAAGCTGATAGCTAGTCATTTAATCGCATTCATTTATCATTCATTCAAAATCAATCGTATTCACAAGGCTACGTGAGCCAATGAGTCTTTATTAAGTTTTGATATGTAGATATATCTGTGAATGCTGTAAGTGAATGTGTATTGCATAATTTGTTATCAGTTGACGGTGGACTTGTTGACGCAATGCCGCGGATATAGAATCGTACTGTGTTGAATACTGTCTCAGGGAACGCAAGACCACCCCCACTGTCGCCGCGACAGAGCACAATGCCTGAAAAAAAAAGAATTTTAAGTTATAAAGACAAAAAAAACTTATAAAACGGCTGAAATACTCAGTTATGTTCGTCCGGGGTCGGCACCGACTAGTTTCTAGCTCAGGGCACCTTCATCAGTGTGAGTGGGACTGGTATTATTTCGGTTCCGTCACCGAACGAACATCTTACTGATATTGTAAATGCGAATGTTTAGATGGGTGGATGGAAGTTTGTTTGAAGGTATCTCCAGTACGACTGAATGGATCCGATAAAAATTTGGCATAGATGTAGAACACATAGGCTACTAATTTAGTTTTTGGACGGAGTTGCGGGCGACAGCTATCTATACAGCTTCGTGGATATTTTTCAATGCTTACCCTCTTTATCTCCAGCGCACATCTTGTCGTATGTTATATACTGTTTGAAAGCAGGTGACGTCTGACGCACGCAATCACCATATGATACGTAAGGCATGTCGATCACTTTCAGTTCGCGAGACTCGGAACCTTTGAGACCCGTCGTGAGGCCCCAACCTGCCGCCTGATACATGAAATATTATATATCTTACTAATATTATAAATGCAAAAGTTTAGATGGGTGGGTGGATGGATGTTTGTTCGAAGGTATCTGCAGAACGACTGAACAGATTTCGAATAACTTTCTCATAGTTATAGAACATAGTCTGGAAGACCATATAGGCTCATAATTATGTTTTTTTTTTTAATTCTATTATATATTAAAAAACATAAATACCTTCCCCATGACGCCAGACTGCAGCTGGCTCTCGGCAAAGTCGTGTCTGAAGTCTAGGCAGACGGGGCGCACATACGTCTGGTACTGGAAGGGCCCCGACACCATTACGACCGCAATATCGTCCCGATAATTCAGGTCGATACCCATATAGTTCTTTGATATAACTATCTTCTTAATCTGCCGAGGAAAATATCAATAAATCTTCATTCCTTTTTTTATATCATAAAAATAAAAAAAAACCATTCTTAAATCACTGAAATATTGAAACGATTGTACTCCTACCATTAATCGATGAAGAAAGGAAGGCACAGAAAGATAATTTCCCCTTTCCTATGCATCCTGCACTCCGTCGAATCCACTTTCCCTTCCCATCCTTGACTTATAAGAAAAGAGTGGGAAGTGGAAGAGAACTACAATTCGGCCTCCGATACCCACACTCATCTGACACCAGTTAGTTGTTAATAATTCAACTAAATCATTGATCCGATTCGCAGATCAGTTCACCTGCATCGAATTATGCTTGGTATCTCTGCGACTCGCAGACTCTTTGTAAGCTGAATTTTGAATCGATTCAGATCTGACCTACACGCCTATATTGTGGTAGAGTCTATAGAGTGACCGCTCGCTCGTTTGCCACCTTTTGATTAAAAAAAATTGTACTCACGTCAGATTTCTGTGCGAACGGTTCGTCGGCGGGGTGATCCCAATCTCGATGTAATTTTCCGACTGCCACTGCGTACCTTTTAATATTGTGTAACTTTTGTTCCCTTTCGTTCCAAAAGCAATGAGCAGCTAAAATATATATATTTTACTGTTATTTTTATAAAACTAGCTTTTGCTGACCACTTTGTCTGTGCAGAATTAATAACACAAAGGTAAAATGTTTCTAGGCGACACGAGGCTATTTTCCGTGCTTTCCAATAAGTTGTGTTGCGTTGCGCAATTATCACGTGCTTAGATGGATGGATGTTTGTTTGAAGGTGTCTCCGAAATGGCTTAACGGATTGTACATGAAATTTGGCATACATATAGAACAGTCTGAAAGAACACAACGGTTATTCAAAGGCGATAGATTTAAGGAATATGTCCAAAAAGACTACTCACCAAGAGTCTGTAGATGTCGTTTTCTTGTAATTAAAAAGCTTATTCATATATAGAGGTTACCTGACAATATAACTGAGTTGCTGATGAGTGAGCCACCACAGATCTGTTCGTGTGTTCCATTCTCGAAGTTCTTGTAATAAATACCAGCATGCCAGGGTACATCTCCAAACTTTGCTGTCTCACCTCCGAGTACCAGTGCCGCACCCTTCGGAGTCAATGTACCGCATTCTGTCAACATTTTAAAATGAACATCTTACTATAATAATATAATTGCGAATGTTTAGATGGATGTTTGTTTGAAGTAATCTCCAGATCCCGCTTAAATTTGCCATATTGTATGTTGAACATAACTTGGAAGAACATATAGACTACTAATTAAGCTTTTCTAAATTCTGTGCGGACGGAGTCGCGGACGACAGCTAGTACACAGCTTTATAATTAAGGATGATTAATTTGACAATACATTTGGCAATTTACTAAAGCGTCAGTGGGATAGATTTAGTAAAATCGGGTATGATTCTTTTCGGATTTTCGATTCTTCTAGAACTTGCAATTGAAAATACGGCGTTCATGAGAAAATGAGTCTTAACAGACAGACAAGAGAGTCTATAATTCTGTTTTTGCCTTTCGAAATATGGAACCCTAAATATTAAAAAAACATACCAGGAACACATGTAGGCAATGTACTCCATTGTCCTCGTCTGCAGACCATATAAGGTAACTCCAGTGGCGTGTAATAATTAGGTTCCTTACACGATGGTTTGATTACGGTTCCTTCAACTTCGAAGTCTTTGCAAGGTCGAGTTGATTCCGTATCTTCTATGATACAATTATAATTTATACTTTCATGACGATCCAAATAACAGGTCTCTAGAAAAATAAAAAAAATATTAAACATCTTATCTAAAAGAACCCATTGCTAAACATATGCGGGGCATTTTGTGTATATAAAAGTAACCTTCATACAAATTTCCAACCCCACTATCAAGCCTTTAGACCCTTTTTTTGCGTTAAAAAGTAGCCTATACCCTTTCCTAGGTTCTAGACTATTTGTGTACCAAATTTTATTTAAATCGGTTCAGTAGTTTTTGCGTGAAATAAGGACCAAACAGACAGAGTAATTTTCGCATTCAACTTTGGTAGTAAAGAGAGATGTGAATAATTAATTTGTTTTTCTTTCCTAAATGGAATACTTACGTAAGCATTGTGGGAGACGATTCCCTGACCATATTCCTTCAGAACAAAAGACCTTTGGATCTTCCAGCATCGCGAATCTTTTGTAGCAGGAATAATGGAGTAAGACGAAGGTCGCTTCCCCGTCTTCCACTTTACCCCCCACGATATGATATACGCCATTCTCAGGTTGAGAAGGCAAAATGCATCTGAAATTAGATAGACATAGACTTTGTCAGCGCAGAATTTGATAAATAAGTAGCATATATTCAACTGTCGTCTCTTTAAAGTCTTTTCAAAATAGGTCCAACCGTTCCGGAGATTACCCGGAACAAACGCGGACTTACTTACAGATAGATAGACGATAATTTTAACAATTGGTTTTTCGTAATCAGCAACGTAAATCTTACTAATATTATAAATGCGAATGCTTGGACGGATGTGTGTTAGAACTCCAGAACGGTTGCATTTACGTCGTTGAGATTTGGCATAGGTGTAGAATATAGTCTCGAAGAACATATAGGCTACTAAGTAAGAGTCGCGGGCGATATCTACGCAATATTAATATTACGACAAGACATTATAATTTTATTAATATGTATAGATTATGCGAAAAATGTTCAATTTGATTTTAGTATTTACTTACTGATAAGAAATTCAAAGATATGTGTGAAGTCAACCCGCACTTGGCCAGCGTGGTTGACTATGGTCTAATCATCCATAACTTAGGGTAGGCTCCGAGCCCCTCGGTGGGGACGTATAGTGAGCTGATGATAATGATTTACTTACTTGTCAACCGTTGCCACTTCATTATTTATAGGTGTTACAATGGTTGTTTGTCTTTGAGTTGTATTTGGTCTTTGAGTTGTTGTCGGTCTTTGAGTTGTTGTTGGTCTTTGAGCTCGATTGTCATCCGAACAAGTGTCGTCAGATTCATCAGAGCCGTCATAGCAATCTCTTATCTTAAATAAATTGTTAAATCGTCAACATTTAGCTTCACAAACATTGCAAAAATCTTAACGTGCAATACCACAACACATGCCTCAAGGTTGAACTTATTCCAACATACAGTCTGATGAAATTGCGCGCCGGAAGACTTATTTTAGTCTTTTAGGAAGCAGATTTGACCCAGGAGCCATTGAAAGTGGAAATAAAACTGGAAGAAATTCCGCGTTTCGTCTCATAAGAGAGGCCTAAATTTAGTCTTCATTCTCACCTTCTTTCTTATAAAAGATAAAAGATATAAAAGAAGTGGAAGTGGATTTTTCGGATGAGAAATGGGAAGGGAAAATATTCTCTTTCTGAGCATCCTCTGTCGTAGGCAACACTGCAATTGCGGATTCTGAATCTACACGTTCGCCACTTAATATAAATACTTACGCCATCGCAAATGTTCGCGGTATTAACACATTCGCCCGAGGTACAACTAAACTGATTTACATCACAAAGTTTTGTACTTTCTACATTTGGCTTAATATCATCATCACTGTATTGAGGTGGGGCGATCCTGAAATTTATATAATAAATATTATTTCAAATTATGTAATCATCAGTCATCATCATCAACCTGTCCTTATCTCTATCGAGGGTCGGTACATTATGTACTACCCCTCCATACATCTCTATCAGCCAATGGGACCAAACGACACGCAACACCTTTCAAATGAAAAGAGAATTGAGGAAATCAGACAACTAGGGAGTTCTCGATGGACAAATAAAAACATACAGACTTTTTGATATCGGTTAAAAAATATAATACACGTCTCGCTTAAAGATCAAAATAAGTCTTACTCCATATTCTCTCTAATGAAATTTTCATGTCTAATTAACTCGGTGAAAGTAATAGTTCCGATGTTATGACAAAATCTATTCCCTGTGTCAGGTACAGGCGAGGTTGAAAGTATACCACGTAGGTAATAACGAGTTGTTAGTTTTTCTGAATCTGGAAACACTAAGCCTCCACCTCCATCACCTTTGCATACATCCGTACCTAGAAATAAAAACATACAGAATTGTAACCTCCTTTTTTAAGACCTCTATTGAAAAGTATAAACAAGATTTACTACAACTATTCTCAGGATAGGAATCGATTCATCAGCTCACTATACGTCCCCACTAAGTTTGGAGTTTACCCTAAGTTAACTAGGCCATAGTCAATGCTGCAGACGGGGCCGCGGACGAGAGCGAAAGCGTGCCCGTAGTCCCGTCCCGATGCGTTGGAGGCACAGAGGGGTTTAGTGGGTATGCCTCCGCTATGGAGGAGATTCCCACATAACTACCGCGTCCCCCCCGGGGCGCGGAGTATGCAAAAAGCATTCCCCTCTGAAAAAAAAGGCCATAGTCAATGCTAGCCCAATGCTTGACTTCACATATAACTTTGAATTTCTTCACAGATATATGCATCATGAAGTTTTCCTTCATTGGAAGATAAATGTTCATATGTGAATTAAAAAACATATTGGTAGATAGATTCGAACCCAGGACCTGTAGATTACAAGTCAACTTAACCACTAAGCCAATAACGCAGATCGATTTCGATTTATGGTGACTAACTTTATAAGACCAAATCAATGTTTCAAACATATCTGTTTTATCAACGATAACGACATAACGATATCTATTATATATAAAAGAATGTCGTGTTAGTTACATTATTTATATAATTCAAGAACGGCTTTACCGATATGCCTGAAAATTGGTGAGAAGGTAGCTTAGAGCCAGGAGACGGACATAGGATAGTATTTATTCATTTTTTTTCGAATTACTGCCTTGAAGAGTTGCTTTTTATTTAACTTACTAATATTATAAATGCGAATGTTTAAATGGATGTGATGTGGATGGATCGATGGGTGTTTGAAAATATATAATTAAGTTTTTTTATATATCCACGCGGACGGAGTCGCGGGCGACAGCTAGTGTTTTATAAAGAGATTTTGATGCTGCACATATCTGCGAAGAAATTCAAAGATTTTGATGTCACGCACTGGGTCAGCATTGATTATGGCCTAGTTAACTTAGAGTAGACTCCGAGGTTAGTGGGGATGTATAGTGAGCTGATGATGATGAAGGATAGTTGGTGATTATATTGTATACCTACCATTATCATATCCAGCACAGAATTTATCTGATGTTATGTATTCTCGAAACTGGGCAGGTGCGTTACTTATACATTTGGTTATGTCCATGTACGGTATATCTATAGATTTGAGGGTCGGAGGAGGTCGATTGGCTACAGTGTCTATCAGACCAAAGCCACCAAGCTTAAAAAGAAAGAAATGAGCTAAAACAGACATTTTCAAACAGTGGTAGTTAAAGTTTGATACTACAAGACAAGTCTCAAGTGGATTTTTATAGTAGATTTTTTTTTTATTTTACTTACATTTCTTATACCATTCCAACTAAGCTCGATGCTTGTTTGGATACGGTTTACAAAAGTCAAATGGCTTCGAACTCTTGATCTCTTGATCGGAAATCAGTAGCCATTAGGCTATTGATGCTTTAAAATTCCCTGTTTATTCTGATGAGTGCATGCCGGAGGACTAATTTTAGTCTTCTTTCACTTTCCACCCTTTTTAGGGTTCCGGAAAAAACGGAACCCTTATAGGATCACTGTGTTGTACGTCCGACTGTCTGTCAAGACCCTTTTTCTTATAAGAAAAGGATGTGTGAAAGTGGATGAATGAGAAGGGAATTCACTTTCTGTGCATCCTCGGTAGATTGAAGGTAGGCAACGCATCTGCAATTGCGTATGTCTATTGGCAACGCTTCGCTATATCAGTAAATGTGGCAGCTCGCTAGTGCCACCTTATGATATAAAAAAAAACTAAAATTGATCAAGCGCACTCATCAGAGGAAATTCTCAAACATTACACTCTCAAAGTGTGTCTTCTGTGTTCAAATCGCTTAAATAGCGAAGTGTCCGTTGCCCATAGACATACGCAATTACATATGCGTTGCCTACTTTTAATCGACGGAGGAGAGGATGCACAGAAAGAAAACATTTCCATGCATCCTCTCATCCGGAAAGTCCACTTCGACTTCCCATCCTTTCCTTATAAGAAAAAGGGTGGGAAGGGAAAGAGGACTACATAAGGCCTCCGGGACGCACACTCATCAGACTGTACGCGGAATTGCTTCCACTTGTCGCCTGTCTTCTGTGTGGTCGTGGTATTTCACCGGGCGAGCCGGGACAATTCGTGCGAAGATGTTAAAGCGGGCTCTACCACTGTTAAAATGTTATCTACTTACCTTTCCCAATGTTCCTGGTTCTAACTGACGTTTGTTAAAATCTAGATCAAAATCTATGCATACGGGGAGGACGTTACTCGTGAAGACAATGGGTTCTGTTAGTATCACCAAAGCTATGTCATCCTGGTAGTTTGTAACAGCACCAGTAAACCTAAGTGGTATTTTTACACTTTTCACCTGCAAATATTAAATAAATATTTTCTTATATATAAAATTCTCTTGTCACAAATTTTCGTTCCCATACTCCTCCGAAACGGCTTGACTGATTCCCATGAAATTTTGTGAGCATATTGAGTAGCTCTGAGAATCAGCCAACATCTAGTTTTAATCCCGCGCGGACGGAGTCGCGGGCGACAGCTAGTATGTATATAAATTTGATGCTATTTTTAAATATAACTAGCTATCGCCCGCGACTCTGTCTGCGCAAAATTAAAAAAACTTAATTATTAGTCTATGTGTTCTTCTAGGCTGTGTTCTACATCTATGCCTTTTAGCGAGATTGTTCTGGAGATACCTTCTACCAAACATCCATCTAAACATTCGCATTTATAATATTAATAGGATTATTATAAATGCGAAAGTATATCTGTCTGCCCTTTCAAACAAAAACTACTGAACCGATTTAAATGAAATTTGGTACAAAGATAGTGTAGAGCCTGGGAAAGGATATAGGCTACTTTTTGATGCGGAAAAAGGGTTGTAAGTTCAATACCCAGTTCTTTCCCGGGTTGAAAAGTTTATGTGTTTCGTAGGGTGAATTAGGACCATTATAAAATGCTATCCCAAAACACAACATACCTTGAACGAAGTCGTGGGCACGTCTAGCCGTACTTCTAACTAATATTATAAATGCGAATGTTTAGATGTTTGTTTGATGGTATCTCCAGATCGGCTGAACGGATCTTGATGAAATTTGGCATACATATAGAACAGACTATGTTCTTTAATTCCGCGCAGACAACGCGGGTGACCGCTAGTCAATCTTAACAGTAACTAACATTTATCTTTTGTGCGTCTTTATCCCTCTTATAATTCCAAGGTTTATATTGCTTGCCCACAGCCACCGCATAGTTCGTGGAAATTTTCTTTACGTCACTCCAAAAGCAATGTGCAGCTGTAAATAACTAAACATTAAGACAGGCGTGAAGTGGAAGCAATTCCGCGTTTCGTCTGATGAGTGTGCGTCCCAGAGGCCTAATTTGTCATCTTTCCCTTCCCACCCTTTTTTTTATAAGGAAAGGATGGGAAGTGGAAATGGACTTTCCGGATGAGAGGATGCATGGAAAGGGAAGATATTTTCTTTCTGTGCATCTCCTCCGTCGATTAAAAGTAGGCAACGCATATGCAATTGTGTATGTCTATGGGCAACGGTCACTTCGCTATTTCAGCGATTTTAGGTGGCCGCTCGCTCGTTTGCCATCTAATGTTATATAAATAACTACCGGACCCGACAGACGTTGTCCTGTCTACACGTCTTTAATTTGAATAAATTAATATGAAGTTAATATTTGATGAAAATTGTGAATGTAAACCATTCCCAGATCCTCTTGAACACACACAAAAAATTTCATCAAAATCGCTCCAGTCGTTTGAGAGAAGTTCAATGACATACACACGCACAGAAGAATTATATATATAAAGAATTGTTTTTCTATTTTATTTTCCATTTACCTGATATGATCGTAGTTGCTGTTACAATGGTACCACCGCAGATAGCTAAATATGGATTTGTACTTTTTGTATAAATCGTAGCATGCCATGGCAACTCGCCTTTGGTGACATTGTAGGGGACCGCTGATGTTCTTTCTTTATCCGATGCGAGTTTTCCGCACTCTGGAAATAAAAATATATATATACAACTAGCTGTCATCCACGATTACGTCCGCGTGTTTGTCTAAAAAAAATTTTGGGGTGGACTACCCTTAACATTTAGTGGGATGAAAAATAGATGTTGGCCGATTCTCAGACCTACTCAATATGCTCACAAAATTTCACGAGAATCGGTCAAGCCGTTTCGGAGGAGTATGGGAACGAAAATTGTGATACGAGAATTTTATATATAAGACAAGGGTAAAATAATAGCAAATATTCAATTCGTAGGAAAACGAATGACAACTATATTTTGTAATTCGGTGTTGTTATAATTTTTACATTTTACATTACTTTTAGGGAAGCCACATTCTGTACGTTACCTCCTCTGACCGTATAACCAAGGGTAGACAATCTATCTGCTACATTTTAACTTGTTGTTATTGTCTAATACAAATTTTGCTATTTTAGTTAGTCAGGCGCATTCTCGTTTGCCTATTTTTATTATAAAATAATATCTTTTGATATAATATATAAACGTATTTAAGGACTATTAAGATATGCGTCCATTGGATCGCGCAACACACTACATACACAGCCCACAACGGATTGCTAATTAAATGCCGTCTTTTGACGCATTGCTAGATAAAATCATACAAAGTAAACTAAAATCCGTTGCGAGTCATGCGTGCAGTGCGTCCGGCACAACCCAATGGACGCGTACGTTAAGAAAAATACGAATGGAATGATACCTCACTAAAATCGACTTAGTTGATAGAAAACCTGACGTCACAAAGTAATATGTAATCACTTTAGAGTCAGTTGTTTAAAAAGCGAGGGTGTGTTAGAATCGCATGTGTGAGGACTTACCTGGTTGACATGTTGGTATATAATCCCATTGTCCATCAATACAATGCATGAGAGGCAGCGACATAGAGCTGTAGTAATATGGCGCTTTACACGCCGGCCGCACGACCGAGCCAGAGGGTTGCCTCTGTTCACACGGAGTGGACCTCGCACCACCGTCCGGTGCCAAACACCAGTAGTCCACACTCGGTGATTTCAACAATGATTTTAATGAACATGCACCTGTTCAAAAAAAGATACATATATTATTATATTTTTATCATATTCTTAAAATAGTCCATTTAATATATAAAAAATATTATACAAAATATATTATATTAAAAATAAAGCACCACCGGCTGCGGAATCCCATGAATCAAACAACCAGTGGTCAGGGGCAGCCCTGACCTAGTCTCGCTAAAACTCGAGAACGGCTGAACGGATTTATCTTATCTTGGACTTGAAATGTTCGTGGAGGTCTAGGTAAGGTTTAAAAGGTGAGAAAGATTCGAATATATGCCGAGAAACAGTCCTTTTTCCATATAAACGACTGAATCTCGCTGAAACTTGGCATAGATGTAGAACATAATCTGGAAGAACTCATAGGCAATTATGGTTTTTTTAATTAAGCGCGGACGGAGTCGCAGGTGACATTTAGTATTTGATAAATTTAACCGTTCTAACTGATGACTAGGGAATAAATTATGCAGTGGTCCCCGTTGCCTTCTCCATTAGACTTATGGAGAACTGATCCTCAACCTTCGTTAGTCGGATAGGCACCTCAAGAAGAAGAAGAACCGTTCAAAGTAAAGTTTCTGACTACTTACGTAAGCATTGGGGTATATATGATGACCATTTGCCAGCATTACATGTCAACGTCTGTGAACCTTGAAGTACATATCCTGGATCACATTGGAATGTAATCCGTACAGACAACAGCTTCATGTCCGGTTTAGCGTCATCTACATCATCCACAATGTACGTCCCATGCTCGGGAAATTTCGGCAAAATACATAAAAACATATTTTGACTACTGTGGACAGAAATCGATTAGTTTGTACGATGATAAGTCAAAACCGCAATAGTTAACAGTGGTAGAGCCCGCTTTAACATCTTCGCATGAATTGTCCCGGCTCGCCCGGTGAAATACCACGACCACAGAAGACAGGCTTCAAGTGGAAGTAATTCCGCGTTTCGTCTGATGAGTGTGCGTCCCGGAGGCCTAAAGTATGGGAAGTGGAAGTGGACTTTCCGGATGAGAGGATGCATGGAAAGCGAAAATATTTTTCTTCTGTGCATCCTCTCCTCCGTCGATTAAAGGTAGGCAACGCATATGCAATTGCATATGTGTATGGGCAACGGTCACTTCGCTACTTCAGCGATTTCAGGTGGCCCCTCGATCGTTTGCTACCTTTACGTAACGTATCTTTCGTCAATGCGGTGTAAAAAGTATGAAAGAGTAGTTTCGTGGTTATAGGACAATGTACTGTTACTACGCGGATCCGCGTGATGCCAAATAAGATTATTACTTCCGTGCTCGACCAGCGTTAAGTGACAATACCAACATAGCCTACTAATATTATAAATGCGAATGTTTAGATGGATGATCGTTTAAAGGTATCTGCAGAACGGCTCAATGGATTTTGAGGAAATTTGGCATACATATAGAACATAGTTATCGAGTTTGTTTTTAAAAATACATTTTATTACGTTAATATTTATTATCGGACTCGTAACTTTTCAGTTCAAATCCAAAATGCCGGACGACATCCTACTTTCGTGTGCGGGTCGATCGAACTTAACCGGTAGTTACCTGTACTGCAGACCACAACCCCATCTGTCACCCGGGAGACACGGGACGTTGGGAGACAAAGCGTGGGTATATATGTCCGGGATTGTGTTGGTACTAAATCGGGAAAAGTGGAGACTTTTTTTGTTCCACAACGCTGCGTCACCCTAGTTAGTTAAGTATTTACGACTTACATATTCATATTTGTTGAGCCACACATTGCTTCGTCACTGCCGTCGGGGCAATCAACTTCACCGTTACATCTCATTGCAAATTGAATCGACGTGTTATCATTACATATCCATTTGGACTTACTAAAACACGTCAATATTTAAATATAAATACATGTTGTTTTGTGAAAAGTATTTCACGATATGAAGTGACAAACGTTCTTTTCTTCTTCCCTTTTCTATACTAAAATAGCAAGGGAGGTGATGTATACGGAAGAGTGATATCCTCTCATCTGTGCTTCAATCTTACTAATATTATAAATGCGAATGTTTAGATGTTTGTTAGAAGGTATCTCCAGAACGACTCAATGTATCTTGCTGAATTTTGGCATAAATATAGAACATAGTCTGATAGAACACATAGGCTACTAATATAAAATAAAATATTTAAAAAAAAACGAATAATTCACTGAAATATGTTATTAAAAGGAGTTCCTTTAGGCAAGGTCCCGAAGATACTGGCAGCGTTCCCCCTCTGTACAGCTAAACTAATTCATTGACGAATATTACAAATGGGAATATCTAGATGGATGTTTGTTAGAAGGTATCTCCAGAATAGCTGCATGGATCTCGATGAAATTTGGCATAGATGTAGAACATATACTAGTAGAATAAGGATACTAATTAAGTTTTTTTGTCCGACACCTAAATTAATAAACAAAAGGTGTCAAAGTGTGCCATTTGCCTTAATGATAGTCGATTTGCGAAAGAAAACAGTACAGTAAGGATACATTACTCAAAGCTTTCTTCTATGAAGTCCTGATGTTTGATGATTTCAGTGTACGCTGATAGAGCGTTAATGTCACAACCTTGGCCCTTTGAAGGTGCGACAGAAAGCACACCTCGTAAGTAATAACGGAGAACGCCACGTTCAATATCTGGGAATGAAAGTCCACCTCCAGAATCCCCATTGCAAGGCGCGGTTCCTGTTTTTGTATGAAAATTATTATAGATTAGGTTAAAATATACATGATTGTTATACCGTGAGTTTCCGAGTCCAATATCCCCGTTTATAATATGCTGTTGTCTGTGTTTTGTCTTAAATGAATAACACGAATGAAGATATATTTTATACAGAGATTAAAAACTCAGAAACCCACGGATATGCCGTATTTAAGATAGATTAGTTTGACAATTCAGTATATATGGGTTGAGTAAAGTTTTACTCATAGAAGAAGCAATATTGAATTTAACTGTACAATGTTATAAATGCGAATGTTTAGATGGATGTTTCAATATATCTCCAGAACGGCTGAACGGATCTCGATGAAATTTTACACAGATGTAGAACATAGTCTGGAAGAAATCATGGCTGCAATTTTTTTAATTCCGCACAGACGAAATTGCGGACAGCTTGTATTATACATGTGAATATTTAGATGGATGTTTGTTTGAATGTATCTCCAGAACGGCTGCATGGATATCGATGATATGTAGAACATAGTCGGGAAGAACACGGAGGCCACTAATTCCAAGTTTTTTTTTTTAATTCTGAGAGAATGGATTCCTGGGCGACAGTTAATAATGTTTACCATTTGTGTACCCAGCGCAGATCTTGTCACTGGTAATAAAAACCTCAAAGCCTTTAGGAATAGAAGACAGGCAATCGTTTATTCCTCGGAACGGCAAATCAACAGTCTTTAAGAGCAATGACGTTTTCATTTCTTCCGTGAAACCCCAACCGCTGAACTGAAAGGGACATATATAGGAGAGATGAAAATCAGGTCGAACTGGTTATATTTAGATCCTAAATTAATCTTATTAATATTTTGAAGCGTGATCTTTGATATCTTTGCACGAATTGGCTCGCCCGGTGCAATACCATGACCACACGGAAGACAGGCGACAAATGGAAGCAATTCCAACTACAGTCTGATGAGTGTGCATCTCTGAGACCTAATTTTAGTCCACTTTAGTTCCCACCCATTTTCTTAAAAAAGATGGGAAATATAAGTAGATTTTCCGGATGAGAGGATACATGGGAAGAGAAAATATTCTCTTTCTGTGCATCCTCTCCTCCGTCGATTAAAGGTTGGCAAAGAATATGCAATTGCGTATGTCTGTGGGCAACAGTCGCTTTGCTATTTTAGGAAATGGAAAAACATATTGGTTCATGGCGGGATTCGAACTCAGCACTTGCAGATTACAAGTCAAGTGCTTGACACCTGAGCCACCGACACCTTGGATATAATAAAAGGTATTTACCTTTCCCAAGTTTCCATCTCTTAGTTGTATTTTATTAAAATTAAAATCAAAATTCAAACAGACTGGTCGCAAGTAAGGTTTGAGTTGGAATTCCGGATCGACGGTTATAACGGATATGTCTCCTTGGAATTTCGCCTTATCACCTTGGAATATTGGTGATACCTCAATACTTTTAACCTGTAAAAAATAGTTGAAAAATCCAAGTACGTTCGTTTGTTTGTTTGTCTAGCACAATAATTTTGACAGTGGTAGAGCCCGCTTCAACATCTTCGCACGAATTGTCCCGGCTCGCCCGGTGAAATACCACGACCACACAGAAGACAGGCGTCAAGTGGAAGCAATTCCGCGTTTCGTCTGATAAGTGTGCGTTCTGGAGGCCTAATCTAGTCCTCTTTCCCTTCCCACCCTTTTTCTTATAAGAAAAGGATGGGAAGTGTAAGTGGACTTTCCGGATGAGAGGATGCATGGAAAGGAAAAAAAATATTTTTCTGTGCATTCTCTCCTCCGTCGATTAAAGGTAGGCAACGCATATGCAATTGCGTATGTCTATGGGTAACGGTCACTTCGTTATTTCAGCGATTTCAGGTGGCCGCTCGCTCGTTTGCCACCTTATGATATAAAAAAAGCTTAGTTGGAATGGTACAAGAAATGTTAGTGAATTAACAAAAATCTGTTAATATTTAATATGTGATCTTACGGAGCGTTTTTGGACATTATGTTCATCTCTAGAGTCGTTCCAAGGTAAATACAGTTTCCCCGCAGCAACAGCGTAATCATCCGGGGTTTTTTTTTGGTTCTTACTAAAATCCCAGAAACAGTGGGCCACTGAAAAGAAATATGTAGAGTCTGCTTTAATATGTTAGGAAGAAAATCCGACACAGTGCCGGTGTATCGCAACACTAGCATTAAAATGTCGACGTTTATGTCCCCTCACTAATCAATCTGACACTTGACTTTGTAACGAAAGCCATTCGCGTGAAAGGATTCTAACTAACGTCTTAAAGTATACACTATAGTTTGTCTATTTAAGATAGTTTGACAACTGATGCCTATGAAGTACCGAATTAATTTAGTATGAGGTTTAATATTTTATTTAATTGACAGTTGTCATAGTGTTGAACCGTCGCGCTCAACGAATAACTGTATCGAGAATCGGTTTTGTAATAAAATTAATCGAGGAAATTGGTACTATAATTTGAGTGTTTTATAAATTTTTAAATTTATTAATTCCGCGCAGATAGAGTCGCAGATGTCAGCTAGTCTTACTAATATTATAAATGCGAATTTTAAACGGATCGCTATCTAGAACTGCTGATAGGATTTCGATGTAATTTGAAATAACACATAGGCTACTAATTAAGTTTTTAATTCCGCGCGGACAGAGTTGTATGCGACAGCTAGTTAATTTATATATGTACCTGATATGATAGCTGTTGTACTTATGATAGTACCAGCACACCGATATTCTGGGGTTCCTTTTTCCCTATTGTAGATCCCGACGTGCCACGGCACCTCCGCTCTTAATGCGTCACGAGCGTATGATATCAACTCGGTGCCTTGAGGCGTTATTGTGCCACATTCTGTTTGAAATTAAAGATTAATTGTCAAAAGAGAAGACGGTATAAGGGTTAAGCACTTGATTTATCTGCAGGTCCTGGGTTCGATATGTATGTATACGAAGTTAGGGTGCAGGAAAGCTTCGGGCATTAGGGTAGGTTAGCCCCTAGGATGTATAGTGAGCTGATGGTATCGTCGCGACTTAAAGAGTCTTCTGATGGTTCCCTCCATATGCAGTGGATTAACCTAGTGATCTAAACTAAGCAATAGCTGAAAAGTTTTAATTTCTTAATCTTACTAATATTATAAATGTGAATGTTTAGATGGATGGATGTTTCTATAAAGTTATGTACAAAAGGCTGAACATAGATGTAGAACACAGTCTGGATGAACACATAGAAGCAAATGGAGAGGCGGGCTACAGCTACTTTCTTAATTATCTGATAAACTCACCTAACTCGCATATTGCGATGTAATCGAAAACACCGTCAATACAACGCATAGCAGGATGAATGCCCACATGATAGTAGTTTGGTTTCTTACACTCCGCCCTCACCACAGTACCGGACGGGACAAGTGTTTCGCATTCCTTTCTTTCTACACCGTTATCACCCTCTTGTTTACAGTAATACGTCACACTTGGATGTGGATTTAGGTTACAATAACCTGAAAGTTGAACAGAATAGAGCCAGCTTTAACATCTTCGCTTTAAGCTCGTCCGGTGCAATACCACGACCACATAGAACACACGCCTCATGTGGCAGCAATTCCAACTACAGTCTGATGAGTGTGCGTCCAGGAGGCAAATTAGAAAATTTCCTTTCTCACCTTTTTAAGGAAAGGATGGAAAGTGGAAGTTTTCCGGATGGCATGGGAAGGGAAAATATTTTCTTTCTGTGCATCCTCTCCTCCGTCGATTAAAGGTATGCAATTGCGTATGTCTATGGGCAACTGTCACTTCGCTATTTCAGCGATTTCAGGTGGCCGATCGCTCGTTTGCCATCTTTTCATATTAAAAAAAAACATATAAATTTGAAAGTGTGCAGCATTTCTGCCGTCCAAATATAACGGGAGCCATCAAGGAACTAGTGAAATTGAAGTTTATTCGTCTGATGAATGTGCGTCGGTGGCTCAGGGGCACTTGACTTGCAATATGCCTATTGCTAGTGGATAAATCTTAGTAAATTTAGATTAGGCTACTTGCTTTTCCAATTTATAATATAAAAAGTGAATGGTGCGCCACAGTTTCTAGTTATTTGATCCGTAAAAGAGTGATACTTACGTATACATTTTGGAATAGGGCCCGACCAATGTCCTTGGAAGCAGAATATGGCGGTTTGTCCTTTCGCGACATACCCTTGATCACAAGTGACGTTCAGAAAAATACTATCAAAAATGGAGCCAGGTTTACCATCAGGTCTGCCCTGTGTTACGTACCGGCCGTTTTTGGGGTAGGCAGGGAGTACACAATTCAATTGATCATTTGCATTTCTGTAAAAAATTATTAGGCAATTAGTAATTAATAAGTTAGGCAATCTTCGAAAAGCTTCGGTAGCTCAGGGGTTAAGCACTTGATTTGCAATCTGCAGGTCCTGGGTTCGAAAGCCATGTACTCCAAATATATCTTATATCTTTAAATATATATAATTGGAATGTTGGAAAATCGGCTCCAACGATTTTCATAAAATTTTGTAAATAAGGGGTTTCGGGGGCGATAAATCGATCTAGCTAGGAATCATTTTTAGAAAATGACATTTTATTCGTGTTTTATCGATAATCAACTTAAACATAAACTTAACTTTCTATCGGTAAGATCGAAAAATATTATTCATATTTCATCATTAGTAATTCGTACTTAAATATCATTTCCAAAAAACACAATTTAAAAAAAAATACCGAGCAAAGCTCGGTCATCCAGGTACTGTACATTTATCCGACGTTACGGTGAAGGAAAACATCGTGATGTAATATAGTGTACGTAATTTTAACTAAACATATAAATGAAGTTTAAAAATTAAAATATAAAATAGTAGACTTTATATAGTATCGAGAAAAAAATCACAATTTAATAAAAAAAAAGTCTATCTCTGTCTGTCTGTTTGTTTGTCCGCAAAGCCGTGTTTTTTCCGTGTAAACTCGGGAATGACTGGACCGAATTTGACAGGACTTTAACGAGATGGCAGCTGATTGACACGAGACTATTATAGACTACTGTTTTACCTGAATCCATTTTCGTTAGTTGCTATTTGACACCATACATCTTGATTTGCAA